CCCATATGGGATGCCAGCACTGCAGGCCACAGCTTTAACTGGTTGAGCCACAAGTGCCAGCCCTTACAGATATCTCTTGTTTGGAAGATTGCTGGTCTCCCTGTACCCATTGCCATGACTTCCAATCCATCCTGTTATTTTTGTGTGTAACCTGCTAGTCAATGGGCCATTTGGATCTATTTCTGTCTTACCTTTTGCTCCCCTGAATACACACTATCATATTCCTCTAGAAAAGTAAGACTCTATGGCCTGGCGTGGTGATGTAGCAGGTAAAGCTGCCGCCTGCAGTGCTGGCATCCCATATGGGTGCCGGTTTGAGTCCCAGCTGCTCCACTTCTAATCCAGTTCTCTGCTATAGTCTGGGAAAGCAGTAGAAGATGGCGCAAGTCCTTGGGCCCCTGCACCTATGTGGGAGACTCGGAAGAAGCTCCTGGCTCCTGGCTTTGGATCAGTCCAGATCCAATCACTGTAGCCATCTGGGGAGTAAACCATCGGATGGAAGACCTCCTCTCTCTCTCTCTCTCTCTCTCTCTCTCTCTCTGCCTCTCTGTAGCTCTGCCTTTCAAATAAATAAAGAAATATTTTTTAAAAAGAAAGGAAAACTAAGACTGTAACTCCAAAATCGTTCAGGGATAATGTAATTTTTATAAAAATTTTATTTATTTGAGATGCAGAGAGATACAGAAGAGCTCTTGGTCTATCCACTGGTTCATTCCCCAAATAACCACAAAAGCTCTGGGGCTAAGGTTGGGCCTAGGCCAAAGCCGGGAGCCAGGAACTCAATCCTGCATCCCTCTTGTGGGTGGCAACTTCATCCATCACCATTTCCTCCCAGGGTATGCATTAGCAGGAAGGAAGCGTCAAGAGCTGGAGACTGGTATTGAACCCATGAATCCAATATGATACACTGCATCATAACTGGTAAACCAAGCATCAGCCCAGGATAATGTAGATTTTTTTTTTACATAAGGATCTACTAAGTCACAGGAGAGGACCTACACAGTAATTATCCTGTACTCTTCTTATACTGTCCCCTTAGTTATTTCTCACTTTTTCTAAGTTCCCCCACAATGGCACTGCCACATCTCTCCTCCCCTCCACTGTCACTCCATTTCCTTCCTACTCTCCTGCAGCTGTCGGCTGGTCAAATTAGCTCTGTCTCCTTCCCTTCTCCATTTCTCCAATCCATCAGCTGCCATTTTCTACTGAGACAGTCTCATCCCATTATAACCCTTTAAAACCCTTCAGTTTACTCATTGCCTCAACAGAATTGATTTCCACAACAAGGCCTACCAGGCCTTGCAAGTCCCAGCCCCAGCCCCTTCTCCCTAACTTCCCTACAGGAACTTGCGACTCCAGTCACAGTGTAGCCAAGCTGTGTTCTGTCTGGGTTACCATTCCTGCTGTCCTTTTTGTCTGAAACCTCCTTCCCTTCTTTCCTCTGCTTAACTCCTGCTGGTCCTACAAACTCAACCTAAAGATCTCCTTCTAGGCCGGCGCCGCAGCTCACTAGGCTAATCCTCCGCCTAGCGGCGCCGGCACACCGGGTTCTAGTCCCGGTCGGGGCGCCGGATTCTGTCCCGGTTGCCCCTCTTCCAGGCCAGCCCTCTGCTGTGGCCAGGGAGTGCAGTGGAGGATGGCCCAGGTGCTTGGGCCCTGCACCCCATGGGAGACCAGGAAAAGCACCTGGCTCCTGGCTCCTGCCATCGGATCAGCGCGGTGCGCCGGCCGCAGTGCTGGCCGCGGCGGCCATTGGAGGGTGAACCAACGGCAAAAGGAAGACCTTTCTCTCTGTCTCTCTCTCTCACTGTCCACTCTGCCTGTCAAAAAAAAAAAAAAAAAAAAAAAAAAAAAAAAAAAAAAGCTCTCCTTCTAGGAATCTTCTATAGAATCTCTAAGTCTGCGTTAGGAGGTCCTCCAGTGTGGTTTCAAGCAGCTTCCCCTTATCACAACTGTATCCCACACGAGGGTGTGTCAGCAACATGTATAGACAACTTGAGGACAGTTACATTACTTTGTGTCCTGGGCTTCACACAGAGCAAAAATTTGAGAATGTAGTAAGTGATGTCGAGTAACTAGAGGAAAAAAAGCTCAAAAGGACGTTCCTGCCTAGTGTATGGCCTTAGTAGAGAATGCAGCCCATGAACCCTCTGAGCATTAAGTGATAATCTTGGCCTCCTTTGTGTTCTTTTTTGACAGGCAGAGTTAGTGAGAGAGAGAGAAAGAGAGAAAGGTCTTCCTTCCGTTGGTTCACCCCCCAAGTGGCGCTGCGCCAATCCAAAGCCAGGAGCCAGGTGTTTCCTCCTGGTCTCCCATGCAGGTGCAGGGCCCAAGCACTCAGGCCATCCTCCACTGTACTCCCGGGCCACAGCAGAGAGCTAGACTGGAAGAGGAGCAACCGGGACGGAATCCAGCGCCCGGACCTTGACTAGAACCCGGTGTGCCGGCGCTGCAGGTAGAGGATTAGCCTAGTGAGCCATGGCACCGGCTTCCTTTGTGTTCTAACCTGTGAAGGTCTTCACCTGGGCTCAAAGGAACAAACTCCACCTTTGGAATTGTGTGGAGGATCCTAAAAGCTCCCAACAATTTAGCTGTGCTTGTCCTAATCCAGTAAGTCTGTGTTTGCCATGTCCCCACATCTAGGTGCCACATTTTCTAGGTTTGGGAACTGAACCCCTTTGGAGATAACATGCTGCAGGACCTTGCACACTACAAGATGAATCACTACAATCAGCACGGAGTCTTCCACCTAACAGAGTCCTATTGGTCACTTAGCTGACTCCTCTCCCAGTTGTTTCTGGCAGCACTTTTTTCTTTTTATCTTTGCAAGCAACAATTGCATAAGAATGGCAGGACTCAGACAATGGCATTAACACACCTAAACACATCCCCCAAAATGAGGAAATGAGGGGGTATCTGGACTGCAGGATGCCTCTGGGATAAGTAAGTTCCTATAAGGCTGAGTTCTTAGATTCAAGGTCATACTTAGCCAGGGCTCTTTCCTGCTTGCCTTCTGAAGCCTAGGAGAGAATAGCTACAGGCATTACACAATCCAGAATATGATGGTCCTGGTTTACTTTAGAAATCATTTATGCCGGTGCCGCGGCTCACTAGGCTAATCCTCCGCCTTGCAGCGCTGGCACACCGGGTTCTAGTCCCGGTCGGGGTGCCAGATTCTGTCCCGTTTGCCCCTCTTCACAGCTCTTCCCGCTGTGGCCAGGGAAGGCAGTGGAGGATGGCCCAAGTGCTTGGGCCCTGCACCCCATGGGAGACCAGGAGAAGCACCTGGCTCCTGCCTTCGGATCAGCGCGGTGCGCCGGCCGCAGCGGGCCAGCTGTGGTGGCTATTGGAGGGTGAACCAACGGCAAAAGGAAGACCTTTCTCTCTGTGTCTCTCACTGTCCACTCCGCCTGTCAAAAAAAAAAATCATTTATTTTGTTTTATTCCAGTTACAAAAGAAGTACTTGACAATTTGATAAGCACAAAAAAGAGAAATAAAATAAGTAAAAATATAGAAATCAATACCATTAAGAGATATCTCCACAAACATTTGGAAGGTTATTTTCTTCTATGCTTTTTTGTTTCAAACAATGAATACACTCACACAAACAAATGTATGTATGTGCAAATATATCCTTTTGTATAGGACTGCGATAATATTGTATACATTTTTAAAACATTTAAATTATTTATTTTTATTTATATATTTTATTATATATTTTATGTATTTTTTAAATTTTAAAGGAAGAGAGACAGAGAGAGACCATCAGACAAAGAGAGATCTTCCACCCATTGGTTCATTCCCCAAATGTCTGCAATGGGTGGGGCTGATCAGGAGCCCAGAACTCAACCCAGGTCTCCCACATGGGCAGCAGGGACCCCAGTACTTGAGCCATCACCTGCTGCCTCCCAAGATGCACATTAGCAGGGAGCTGGAATTGGAAGCACAGCTGGGACTCAAACCTGGAGACCCGTGATATTGTATAAAAATTTCTTTGAGAATATGAAAATGAAGCATTGCTGCTCTAACAATCAACTCTAAAGTGAAAGTTGCCATTTAAATACCATTTAATAATTATTTGAGCGGCAGAGAGACAGAGATAGACACAGAGGGAGCTCCCACCCACTGGTTTACTCTGCAAATGCCTGCAAGGGCCAGGGCTGGAGCAACTGGAGCCGGGGTGGGGGGTGTACACGGCAAGGTCTCCTATGCAGGTGGCAGAAGCCCAAATACTGAAGCCATCGCTGCTGCCTCCCAGTCTGTCTTAGCAGGAAGCTGGAATTGGGAGCAGAGCCAGGTATCTGAACAAAAGCACTCTGCAAACAGCACCCTAACTGCTAGGATCAACACTCATCCCTAAATACCACCATTCATACGTGATGAGAGAGACAGAGAGAGACGTATCTCCTACAGACTGGTTCGCTGGGGAGTAGACGCAGAAGCCAGGAGCCTTGGAACTCAGTCACTCCTACGTGAACGGCTGCGGCCCAAGTACTTGGACCATCAGCTGCTGCCTCCTAGGGTGTGCATGACCAAGAAGCGGGAATGAGGAGAGCAGCCCGGACTCGAACCCAGGCACTCCGATACGGGATGCGGACGCCCCCGCAGCCGCTTAACCACTGCGCCAATGCCCGCCCCAGAGTGTTCCTTTCCGCTATGACAAATGTCCTAGATTCTCCTCTGATGCGAGTCCCGTTTACCACACGTTCCCGGGTTTAATTCTCTGCATGTGGAAAAGTCAAGGCGGGAGCCCATCTTAAGTGCTCAGACCGGACGGCGGGGCTGTGGGTTCCAATCCTGACCCCTCTGGGACCTCTGTTCTCTCCCCCTGTCACACCGGGGTCCTTCCATCCTGTGTCAGGATTAAAAGCGCCAAAAGCCAGGCGCTCTCCAGAGACGGTCCTGACAGAAAAAGTATGAGTCCATCACTTCCTCGTCTCCGGTAAACTCGCGAGTCCAAAAGCTAAATGGGGACCGCGGGGCTCGGAGGGCTACTGACCTGAGGCTGAGGGCCGCTGTGAGGACAGCTGAGGGGTCAGCCTGCCGCCCCGGCCTCCTTCCCTCCGGCGCCCCGCACGCAGAGTGACAGCCGCCGGCCGGCCGTGTGCGCGCCCCCTCAGCTCAGTGAGCGCTCACAAAAGCCTGTGAGGTAGGCGGCGCTAGAGGGAGAAACCCAGGCTCAGGCAGCCCAAGTCACTTGCCCAGGCCCACGCAGCAGGCGACGGAGCAGGGTACGGGACGCCCTGGGCCGGTCGGCACCTACAGGGGGCGCCGGCCCGCGCGCACGCGCACTCGCCTCCGCCGCGTCCCCTTTAAGAGAATTCCTTTTGCCTCGGTCGACTCTGTCGCTTCCGCTCCGCGTTCCCATGATGCAGTGCGGCTGAGCGCCTCAGAGCCCGCGGGGACGCTGCGGGGGGACCCGGGCTGAGGAGGCGGCGGCGGCGGCGACGTGGGCTGCGGCGGGCCCGCGGCGTCGGGCGGTGCGGATGTCGGGCTGGGTGGACGAGCGCGGCGGCGAGGGCGACGGGCGCATCTACGTGGGGAACCTTCCGACTGACGTGCGCGAGAAAGACTTGGAGGACTTGTTCTACAAGTACGGCCGCATTCGCGAGATCGAGCTCAAAAACCGGCACGGCCTCGTGCCTTTCGCCTTCGTGCGCTTCGAGGACCCCCGGTGAGACCCGCCGCCTGCCCTCTTCTCCCCTCCCCCTCCGGAGTCTCCCCTCCCCCTCAGTACAGACCCCCCTCATGGCGCCCCCGGGTGGAGGAGGAGGAGGAGGCGTCCTCTCCCTCTCCCCGCGGGCTTCGGCCTGTCCTTGGCTCCGTCGTCACTTCCTTTATTATTATTTTGCTTAAAAACACACCATCTGGGCCCTCGGAGGGCCCGAGCGCGCCCGGCGCGGCCTCGGGGGAGGTACGGATGCGCGCTGCGCGCCCCGCGCCCGGGGAGGCGCCCGGAGGAGGAAGCAGCCCCCGGGCTGGGGAAGCTCGCGCCCCTGCACCGGCCCGGGGTGGGGGGGGGCGCGCGTGGAGCCCGAGTCTCGCCGGCGGCTCAGCCCGGGGGGATGTGGGTGCCTCTGGAGGTCGCGGAGGGGGGTCTGTGCTGGACGGACTTGCAGCCCGGCCCCGGGGCTTCTGAAAGGCGGCGGCCCCAGGGGTAAACTTCCCCAACCGCCGGAGGGGATCTCCGCCTTCGTTCCGCTCCCCTGCTGGGGGAGGCGCTGCTGGGTCTTGAAGCCCCCAGCGCCTGGGGAGCTTTGGGTCTTTAAACTGTCCAGGGAGGGTGTCTTTGACCGTGCAAACCTTTGTGGAAAGGGAGCTTGCAGAACTGCGGGTGGTGGTTCTGGGCGTTGCGCCCGGGGTTAAGTAGGAACCCGCTCTCCGTTCTCCCGTCCTCCTCTCGAGGAACCGGGAGCGCGTTCCCTCGACTGCCTCACGACCAGGAGTGGCTGCAGGGTGCCCTGCCTGCCCCAGGTGGAGGAATTGATCGGGCCGGGAGAGCGGCTGGGGACAGATGGGGAGGCGGGAGGCACCCTCAGACTCTGGCGGGCCTCATTCCTGGAGCTGGTGTCTAAACAGGAAAAGGCTGCCCCTCTTGGTGCTCACGTGTTTTCTTGAACAGTCGCTATCTGTCAAGTACCATTCAGTGTGATCTTTAGCATTTTCAGTAATCTATGAGTTACATACAATAAACCACACTTTACAAGAAGAAGAAATTAAGGATTTAATTGTTAATAAAAGGAACTAGCATGGGATCAAATCAGACGTGAACTCCCTGTTCTGCCCTTGGAATACAAACTTACTGTGTGGTATGCTACATTGTCATTTTCCCCTCATTCCTTTCATAAAAGAAAAGCTCTTTTTAATATCTCCAGATGCCAAGTTTCAAGCAAAGCACTGTACACGAAGTATCTTGTTTACATTTTGCAGTAACCCTGTGGGATAGGCATTCTACTTAGATTACACATAAAAACTTGATTAAACACAACTACTAGGAGGTAGAAGAATATTCAGTCTACTCTTAAGGGGTTGGGGTTGTGTTGCAGTTGCTGCTGCTTGAGACTCTTTTTTCTTTTTAATTTGTGAGGCAGAGTTACAGAGAGATGGACAGGCAGAGAGAGAGGTCTTCCATCTGCTGGTTCACTCCCCAAATGTCCACAATGGCCAAGCTGGGCCAGTCCGAAGCCGGGAGCCAGGAGCTTCCTCTGGGTCTCCCATGCAGGTGCAAGGGCCCCTTCATCGCAAGTGGAGGACCCAGCCTCAAACCAGTGCCCATATGGTATACCAGCAGCACAGGCAGATGCTAAACCTAGTACACCACAGTGCCCACCCCTGCTTGCTTGGGACTCTTGCATCCTACATTGGAGTGCCAGTTCAAGTCGCAGCTGCGCTTTTTTTTTTCTTTTTCTTTTTTTAAGATTTATTTGAAAGGCAGGGTGATAATGAGAAAAGGAATGGAAGAGATTGTACATCTGCTGGTTCACTCCCCAAATGGCTACAATATCCAGGGCTGAGTCTGGCCCAAACCGGGAGCTGAGAATTCCATCCAGGTCTCCCACATGGGTGGCTAGGACCCAGGTAATTGGACCATCTTCTGCTGCTTTCCCAGGGTCGTTAGCAGGGAACTAGACTTGAAGTGGAGCAGCTGAGACTTAAGTGGTTTTCTGTTATGCAATGCCTGCGCAGGCGGCAGCTTAACTTGCCATGCCACAATACCAGCTCCTGCTCTGTTAAATAGCCAGCTCCCTGCTAATGTACCTAAAAAGACAGCAGAAGATGACCCAAGTGATTGGGACCTTGCCACCTTCATATAAGACCAAGATGGCGTTCTTGGTTCTTGTCTTTGTTCTGACCCAGCTTTGACTGTGGAGGGCATTGGAGGAGTGAAGGAGCGAATGACAGATCTCTTTCTCTGTGTCTCCCTTTCTTCTGTCAAATAAATAATTGAATCTTTAAAACAAAAATGAAGTCCACTCTTAAGCCCTCGCCGCTGCATCCTTCGTCCATACTTTATGAGTCAGGGTTGGGGCCTTTGCTGGGTGTAGTAAGTTAAGCCTCCTTCTGCAGTGCTGGCATCCCATATGGGTGCCATTTCGAATCCTGGCTGCTCGTCTTCTGATCCAGCTCTCTACTTATGGCCTGAGAAAGCAGTGGAAGGTCGCCCAGGTGCCTGGGCCCTGGTACCCACATGGGAGACCTGGAAGAAGCTCCTGGCTCCTGGCTTTGATCCAGCTCAGGCAACTGTGGCTATTTGGGGAGTGAACCAGCAGATGAAAGACCTCTCTGTCTCTCTCCTTCTCTCTCTCTTTCTCTCTCTCTCTCCCCCTCTTACACTGCCTCTCAAATACATAAAAAATCTTCAAAAAAGAGTCAGGGTTACACTAGATGTCCTGTTGCCATGCTCCTGGAACCTCATAAGCAGTTTTGTACCTATAACACTGAATAATGCCCTCATTAGCACATTCAGCTCTACTCGTCCACCCAATCTTCAAAGCCATTTTAGATTATGAACTTGACATTCCTAACTGTCCTAGAGCCCTAGGAAACACTTAAAGTAACTATCCAATGTTAATCTCTTTCAGCAAAATTGTACACAGAGACTGGTTTTTGACAACTCAATTCTTCAAACCTTGCTGAAAAGGTACACTTAAGAGAGTTCCAGGGGGCCAATGCTGTGGCACAGTGGGTTAAAGCCCTGGCCTGCAGTGTCGGCATCCCATATAGGCGCCAGTTTAAGTCCTGGCTGCTCCACTTCCCATCCAGCTCTCTGCTGTGGCCTGGGAAAGCAGTGGAAGATGGGCCCCTGCACCTGTGTGGGAGACCTGGAAAGAAGCTCCTGGCTCAGCTCAGCTCTGGCCGTTGCAGTCGTTTGGGGAGTGAACCAGTGGGTGGAAGACATCTCTCTCTCTACCTCTCTCTGTGGCTTTTATAAATAAATAAATCTTTTTAAAAAGAGAGAGAGTTTCATACACTCATTTGCATTTGTTTTGAGCTCACTTTTTAAATGGGTTTTTCTTTCTATAGGAGTTAAGATGCTAGGCTTTAAAAGAACATTAAAGGGTTAAAGTATGGTATGTGTTCTGAGAAATTGCTCTTAACGTTAGATAAACTCTGGTTTATTAGCACAATCATGTCAACAGTTTTCTGGTTTAGCCCTTTTATAAGTACTGTTTCTTCATTTGTTATTTTTCTTTATAAAGATTTATTTATTTCGGCCGGCGCCGCGGCTCACTGGGCTAATCCTCCGCCTAGCGGCGCCGGCACACCGGGTTCTAGTCCCGGTTGGGGCGCCGGATTCTGTCCCGGTTGCCCCTCTTCCAGGCCAGCTCTCTGCTGTGGCCAGGAAGTGCAGTGGAGGATGGCCCAGGTGCTTGGGCCCTGCACCCCATGGGAGACCAGGAAAAGCACCTGGCTCCTGGCTCCTGCCATCGGATCAGCGCGGTGCGCCAGCCGCAGCGTGCCGGCCGCGGTGGCCATTGGAGGGTGAACCAACGGCAAAAGGAAGACCTTCCTCTCTGTCTCTCCCTCTCACTGTCCACTCTGCCTGTCAAAAAAAAAAAAAAAAAAAAAAAAAGATTTATTTATTTGAATGGCAGAGTTAGATCTTTCATCTACTGGTTTACTTCCCAAATGGCCTCAACGCACAGGGCTGGGCCAGGCTGAAGCCAGGAAGCCCAGAGTTTCTTCCAAGTTTCCTGTGTGGTTGTAGGAGCCCGAGCACTTAAGCTGTGTTCCACTGCCTTCCCAGGCATATTAGCAGGGAGCTGGATTGGAAATGGAGCTGCCAGGACTCAAACCAGTGCCCATATGGGATACTGGCATTTCAGGTAGTGGCTTAACTCACTGTTCCACAGCACTGGCCCCCATTGGTTATCATTTCATACCTAGAAAACCCTGTATGTTACAGCTGTGACATTTAATTCCGGTATCATGAAAGATCTTCAAACCAAAGCAAAAGTACACCAAGATCCTGTTTTTGTTTGTTTTTCTTCTCATTCTGGCTTTCCCTGTTATTATGTCCTTCACTGGGAAGTCATTTAGCCTCCTGGGCAGCACTAACTCTAAACTTTTCTTTGCAGAGATGCTGAGGATGCAATTTATGGAAGGAATGGTTATGATTATGGCCAATGTCGGCTTCGTGTGGAGTTCCCCAGGACTTACGG